GGCAGCCTCCTCCCTGCGCCCCGCGTCGCTCGCCGCCGCTTCCCCGGGCTGTCCCCGGGCTCAGTGCGAAGACCCTCCAAACACCTGTTCTGGGGGTCCCGCTGCTGCAGCGCCTCTTCCTCGGGGCTGGGTGAGGGCAGAGACGGGTAAGTGGGAAGGAGGGCCGGGGGCTCCTGGGGAAGCCCACCTGCCTCTTTCTGGTGTGGACCCCGCCCAGCGGAGGCCTGGGGGCACCTGGAAGAGCACTCGGGGGATGCGAGGGAAACTGGACGTCTGTTTCCGCCGCGTCGGTGTCTCTGGGCCACCCTGGTGCTGTGACTCCTGCACCGATATCTGCTCACCCGCCCTGGCCGCCCTTTCGGTGCCTCTAGGAGGGAAGCGGAGACCAGCGCTGAAGTGAGAACGTCAGCACCCTGGTGCTCACCCTGGTGCTCTGTGCTCGCTGTGCACCTTCAGGGCATGCCATTCACCTCTCTGTGTTGTAAAATTGGTGTGAAAGTGAAACATTTTTTTCCTACTTGCTAACTTCAGCAATCTGCTTCCATTGTCTCGTTTAATCCTTATGTCAGTCCTGTGAAGTAGGCATTATTATTGTGCCTGCTTAAACTGAGGCTTGGAGTAAATAAATAGCTCGCCTGGGGTTACACAGCGACATGAAATAGTACGTGTGGGAAAAGACCTTTGGGAAAAAAATACACGTAAGGATAATGCTTTTACAGATGATGCACTTATTCCATTACTAAAATCCTCTGCCCAAAGAGACCTTAATGTCTGATGACGAATAACTAGATTTACTCATTGCCCCTGAGCTTACTGAGAGGCATCCCTGGGTAGAAAAGGAGGGAGAGGTGAAAGTTCTGCCTTATAAGAGGGCATAGCCACAGCCTATGCAGCGCCAACCAGAGCACTGGGGAGTCACCAAGGAAGGGTGGTGGGTGCCTTCGCTGGGCTGCTCTCATGCCTGCCTGGATGCCCCACCACCTGTGGCTTTCTGTTCTCCCTGGGGGCTGCCAGACTACCTCTGTTCACCTATCTGCAGACCCGACTCCTCCCTCCACCCCGGGACCCTCACCATCTACCCTGTTTCTCCTGGTTCTCTTGCAGTTTTTTTCCTGTTTCTTGCCAGCCTTCTGCTTTCCCCTCAGAAAGGTGGTATCTTCAGGCCAGGCGCTGTGGTTGTACTGATAAGACCTGAGATGGGGGCTGTTTGGGGGTGAGGAGGGAGGGCCGTCCCTGGGATCAGAGCTGGGTGTGCTGGGAGTCTGGCCTGGTGTAGTGAGCCCAGGCTGTGTGACCTTGGGCCCATCAATGCCTTCTGGGCCTCAGTTTCCTCGTCTGTAAGGAGTGGGGGGAGATGCCAGTGAAGGAGATGATCTTAGAGACACCCTACCCACCCCCATCCTCCAACCCTCTCCTCCCACCCCTCTACCCACCCCCCACACGCTTTTCAGGCCTGTAATGTTGCAATTTGTGTCCTCTCTCATTCATCTCACAGCTGCCTGTTGGAGAGCCATGAACTAGGCCAGTGATGGCGAACCTATGACACGCGTGTCAGAGGTGACACGCGAACTCATTTTTTTGGTTGATTTTTCTTTGTTAAATGGCATTTAAATATATAAAATAAATATCAAAAATATAAGTCTTTGTTTTACTATGGTTGCAAATATCAAAAAATTTCTATATATGACACGGCACCAGAGTTAAGTTAGGGTTTTTCAAAATGCTGACACGCCGAGCTCAAAAGGTTCGCCATCACTGAACTAGGCCCTCTAGCTTATGCTCCAGGGAGTCCTGGGGCTTCCCTCTGACCCCAACTCTGCCCTGTCCGTCCCTGCAGGCTTCCCTCTGAGGCAGGCCAGCTGTGGAGTTGGGCACCAGGGCAGCGATCAGCGGGAGCAAGGTCCTGGTGCCTCCCTGACAGTCTGGCCTTGGACATCCAGGCGGTGGCCATGGAAGAGCCATAGCTGCTTGGCGGTGGTGTGGTGGGGCAAGGGAGGGCTTGCCTGGCCAGGGCTACCCACGTGCCCTCTCCACCCTGAGTGGGTTCTGAGAGGCTGTCGCCAGTCAGACTCCTTCCTCTTTTCGGGGTGATGCATCAGCGAATTTACTGACTTGTGAACACCCCACTTCTGACTTGGCATTTTCTAGCTCAGAAACTGCCGAGTCACCAGAGGGCAGCCCTAGTGTGTGCCTTCTTCCTGGGTAGCAGGCAGTGGCCAGTGGGGTGCTGGTTTCTGGGACAGGGTGAGCCTGGGGCCCTGGGGCCAGCGGGAAGAGCGTTCATGGGTGGAGACCCGCTCTCTCCCATCCTGGTGGTGCCGGGAAGAAGCTTGGAGGAAAGGCAGCTGCAGAAGGAAGCTTTGCTGTGGGAACCCTGGGGAAACACGCACACTCTTACTCTTCATCTAGCAGACAAGGAAAGAGGAAAAGAATAGAAAAGTTGCCCCAGGAGTCCAAATGGCTCTGTGTTCTTCCCAGGGGAGCTCTGAGTGAGAGGAGCTCTGGGCCTTGCTTTTCCCTGAGAGAAGCAGGGTTTCTGTTCCTGGAAGCAGGTTGGGTGGAGTGAGGGGTGAGGTCTGGCATGGACATGCGTGTGGGTGGGCCTGGGGACCTGTCCGTTCTGCCTGGATTGTGCAGACCAGGCTCCTGGAGCCCACAGTGTCCTAGAGGGAGTGGGGCTGAGGGACAGTTGCCTCCTGTCGAGGGGCCAGTGGGGGCTCCTGCTCCTTCACGGAGCACCTTTGGGTGGAGTTGGTGAGGGAGGTCCTTCTTCCACAGAGAGTGGTGAGAGCTGGGGTAGGTGAGACCGGGCCTGCTTCCAGGCTTGGCTGCTGTTTGGAGGTGAGCCCTGTGTGCAGGGGAAGGGAGAGGTGGGGAAGGTTGTGCCTGCTAATTAACAAAGACCTGGGACCTGGAACACACAAGATAGCCATCTGCCTTTTCCTCCTGCTCAGCCCTTTTGGCACGTGGGTATATGTAGGGGGTGGGTGTTTTGGGGGCTAAGAGAGGGCATTTCTAGAGGCCTGTATTTCAGCATCTCCTAACCCAGAAATTGCTGAGTCACAGAGGCATGGCTCTGACCTTATTTTTCTCCTGAGCTAGCTTCCAGAATCTTTGAGTGGCAGAGGATCTGAGAGCTCAGCTACCCCAGCCACTCCATGGCATGTTAAAGAGACAGAGGGCAACGGGGCTGGCCCAGACTGGTGCCATTCTGACTGTTCCTCAAACGTACTCAGTGACAAGCCTCTTTCTTGGGCCCTTTAAGAAGCCATTGGCTCTCCAAATGAACACCTAGGATGCATGTGAGAAGATAGGCAAAGACTCTGGGAAGGGTGGCTGGCACACAACCCAGATCACAGAAGATGTGAGCTGACGCCGTGGGGTTGCTACTCTGTCCACCCCTGGCCTGCTCCCACTTCCTGCCTTGGCCATGGAGAGATGCTTGTTCAGACTCATCCTGATCTCAGAGGTGGAGGGACCCATGTTCCAGGCCCCACAGTCCTCTTGGAAGGTTGGGGTGGGCAGGGGCAGAGCTGGGAGAGTGTGGGTGAAACGGCGGGAGGGGAAGCTGCAGCGTTGGCAGGGCTGCACCTCACTAGGGTGGAACTGGAGTCTCCAAGTTTCCATGCTGGCGGGACCTTTGGGCTTATCCATCCTTAGATATGAAACACTAAGGCTCTGAGAGGTCATGAGGGAGTGCCATGGAGTATGGCCCCAGGCTTCCTGGCTGGCAGTCTCATGGTTTTCATCCCTTACCAGGCTGCCTAAATTGTGGCAACTTCTGGGTTGGTGACCAGAGCATAGCTCTGTGATGATGCTCCCCTCTGCCTTGTTTTCCCTAATTTAAAAAACGTTTTTATGAAATATTTTGGGCAACTGAAAAAGGGTGGATAATTTCATAAACACTCTTACACTTACCACCCAGCCTAAGAATTAAAATATCATAGATTCAGTCAAAGCACTTTTCCCACCCCCACCTCCTTATCAACTTCCTTTTCTTCTCTTTCTTGCCACAGATAACCAACCACTTTCCCCAACTAGATGTCCATCCTTCCGGTGCATGTGTGCACAGATCTCTTGACTCCTAGGACCCCCGGCCTGTGCGGCCACACCTGCCAGGCTTGCAGCTGGCTCTGCCTCTTTCCTCATTCCTTGCAGGGACCCTGCAGGCCCGCTCCGGACCCTTGCCAATGGAGTTGATATTTGTTCCACTCTTTAGGCTGTGCGGCAGGCACAGCCTGGCACAGAGGGCACTCGTATTGGCTGAGCAGCAGCTGGCATTGTAGGGGAAATGCCCAGCCTGGCCCAGAGGGCGGACCCAGGAAAGGCTGAGGGCATCAGGCCTGCCCTTTGCAGCAAACTGGAGGGAGTGACGGGGGGTATGGCCATGAGCAAGGTCTTGAAAGCCCTGCGGGCTGGGTGGAGGAACATCAGGGTGGGAGGACCGCTTCCCACATCTGTGGCCCTCAGGCTGGGCCCCTTTACACTCTTAAAAAGTAGTGAAACCCCAAGAAAATTTTATGTGGGTTATATCTGTATGTGCCATATTAGAAATTATAACTGAGAACATTTGTAAGCATTTAAAATATTAAAAATCACATTGAATTAGCACAAGTAATATCTGTGTAAGGAAACAGTCATGTTTTCCAAAACAAATAGGGAGAATGGCATGGTTTTATATTTTTGCCGATCTCGACTGTGTGACTGAAGAGATTCCCTTATCTGCTCTTGCAATCAGGCCCTCGTGATATCACAGGCCCTGTAGCCTCCAAAAACTCCATTCCAGAGTCATGAGACTGTAAAGACCAACACTCTGTATTTCAGCATTTCCTAACCCAGAAATAGGTCTGGCCTAGGGGTCCTAAAAGTCCCTGGAGGACCCGGGGTCACTGGCTGGAGGCTGGGAGGAGAGGGTGATGGCAGTGTCTGTCCCTCTGACCAAGTCTGTCCCACAGGTGTGCTGGCACTGTGGGTCCTGGTGACGCACATAATGTACATGCAGGATTACTGGAGGACCTGGCTCAAGGGGCTGCGTGGCTTCTTCTTCGTGGGCGTCCTCTTCTCAGCCGTCTCCATTGCCACCTTCTGCAACTTCCTTGTGCTGGCCATCACCCGACACCAGAGTGAGGGCCAGTGCTGGGGGGGCGGGGGGGAGGGGACTGGAGGGCGGCGCTTACATCCAAGGGACTGGCCAGATCACTTAACCTCCTGTGTCTCAGTTTTCTCACTGTTAGAGTGGGTTGAATGAGAGTAGCCATACCCTGGGGTTGGAAGGGTTCAGTGAAATGTGTGGGAAGTGCTGAGCACATGTAGTAGGATGGCAGTGCCCCCTGGTGGCTGCAACCAGCAAGAAGCCAAAGGCCCTTGTCCCTGACCCTAGGGAATCTGATGTTCAGGCAGGTTCAAGCGGGTTGGAAGTGGCCGAGGGTAAAAGTGACAAAAGCAAAAGATGCCACACCTGTGAATGGCCAGCCCTGACCTTCCCTCATCCCACTGCCTGCAAACCCTGAAGGCTGGTTCAGCCTCTATTGGAGGTTGGAGAGGGCGGCCCCAGCCTTGTGGGATGGGGGCTGGGGAAGAGGGCAAGGCCCTCTAGAGTCACAGTCGGGCTCCTCTCCCTTGCAGGCCTCAAAGACCCCAACAGCTACTACCTGTCCTGCGTTTGGAGCTTCATTGCCTTCAAGTGGGCCTTCCTGCTCAGCCTCTACGCCCACCGCTACCGGGCTGACTTTGCCGACATCAGCATCCTCAGCGATTTCTGACCCAGGGGGTGAGATCTCTGCACCCTGGGGTCCTCAGGACCTGGACTCAGCTTCTGAGACATCAGGTGGGACTGTCCCACCCCTGGGGTACCCCAGCACCGTGGCAGGAAATACACAACAGGAAGACTTTGGTCTCCCAGGACACTGTCCCCATCCACTTTGGGGGAGACCTGGGGGTGGTGGAAAGGGGTCCTGCTCTGTTGCTCCTCATTAGCCTGGCTGGAGGGAAGCTTTTCAAATAGATCTATTTTCTTAGCACTCAGTGAGGAAGCTTTGTAAGGGCCAAGGCAACAGTTGAGGGGCAAAGAGGCCTTGACCCATGCCTGGGGGCAGGTGATCTGGTCCCTGCTGCCCCAGGGACTTTCCCTCAGACCAGGGTGGAAACCTGGGAAGGGAAGGTCAAGTAAGGGGTCTCCAGTAGAGACCTCACCCCAAACCCCAGCATCCCATCCTGTTGTTCCCCCAAGGTCTTGGGCAGAGAGTTCAGTGTCCCTGTCCCACCCTGAGCTGGCCTCCCGAGCGTGCTGGTCAGTCATCTCCGTCACCACCCAAGTCCTCCCTCTTACACGCACCACACACCTCAGAGCAGGACTCCCCACATGAGGCCAGACTAAGGATCTTGGGGAAGGTGCTCCTGCCCCCAGAAGGGCTTGAGTAGGGGGCAGCATGGTGTAGGCCGGAAGGACCCCAGATCTGTGCCTACACACCTGCAGCCCTGCATTTCCACTCGGCCTGCTCACACCTGCCCCTGGTTACACCCAGAACACCCCCTGCTATGAGATGCCCCCCCGCCCCCCGCAACTCCTGCCCCTCACCTAGAGCTTATATCTTTTTTTTACCTCCCTCTTGAAGGATAAACCTGCTCTCTGCCCATACACTGGCCCAAGGGCTCCCCTGACTCGGGAGGGAAGAGGCTACTGATATGTGTGTCTTTTTATGTTAGGTTGCCATTTTGCACGGTCTACCCCTTTCCCTCCTCAGCTCTTTGCCTTATCTGTGTTACTGTCACTTAAGCAGAAATACAGCAACTGTTTGTATCAGACAGCCTCTGGTTGTTTCTTGGGGGGATTGTGAGAGCAGTGGGTGGGAGGGCTGGTGGTGCTGGGTCTCTAGTTGTCTCGTAAAGCCATTTCCTTAGCTCACAATGTGCCCTGGCGGGCAGGGGAGGGGTTGGTGTCTCAGGGGCTGGAGACCCTCTCCCTCTGGTCCCCTTGGCAGGGGGGAACCCACCGGCTTGACTCCCCTCCTCTGGCTCTCGGCACACCCTGGCCGGGGTGAGGATGCCCATGGACACAGCCTCAGCCAGGACAGATGGGGTTTAGTGTCTGTCACCCAAGAAGCAGGACAGATGGGAAGGGGATAGATCCTCTTCCCTTCATACTCTCCCAGGCTGTGAGGGCTTGGGGCCAGGTCTGAGGTCATGAGGCTCTCCTCCCGCAGGCTGGACAAGCCTGGCCCACTCAGAGCCAGAGAGACAGGCGCTGGCAGCCCTGGCACCATCATCTTGGCATGCACTGAGCTTGTCCAGGCCTGTGGCCTCACCTCTTCTCTCTTTGAGGCTCAGTATACGCTTAAGAAGTCATGGTGCATTAGAGCAGGAACCATAAAGTGTCTATTTCTGGAGCCTTTAACTGGGAAACAGAGGCCCCTAGAGGTGACATGACACAACTGACCTCCCAGCTGGGACTGGAACCAGGTAAGTCTGATTCACGACTCTTTGGGGAGGCCTTAGTGAGCAGGGTCTGAGCAGCTATATACCTGCCCGCCCCCCCTCCACCCCACAGTGGGCCCTCTGTCTATGGACTCAGCCCAAAGCTGCCACCTCCTTACTACCCCAGGTGGGGCAGGCAGGGGCAGCTGGAGTGTTCAGAATGGATTCTTCCTGCAGGGCAGCTCCACAAGGGGCAAGGAGCTGGGGGGGAGCTGGTCCCTTCTTCTCCACAGCGAACAGACGCACGCTGTGCTGTGGAGCTGTGTGCCCCCTGCACACCCCATCCCCTGTCATGTGCACCTTTAAAGCAAATAAAACATTTATTGTTCAGATTTTTTTCCATTTTTTTCTCTTTTTTACAAAAACATGCATACATACACAGGGTATGGTTGTCCGAGGGAAGACATGTACGCACACGCACACACGCACACACACACTCTCGCACACATTCGCACACACATACTATCCTTCTTGGCCCCAGAAGCCTTGACTTTGCCAGTCTGCCTCCCCTCCCCCATGTCTTGCATCTACTCTCCCACCCCCTTCCCCCTCAGCCAAGCTAGTCCTATGTGGGGCAGGAGTTGGAGCTGGGGTGGGAGACACCCCAGAAAGAGAACACTCCTGGAGGGGGCAGTGACCGAGGGATCCCTGGGGGTCACACTGTGCTTCTGAGGGGAGATGAGGGTTTGGCACCATTGGATCAGGAAGCACGGAACTCCAAGAGCACCCTTCTCCTCCACCAGGGCACTGAGATGGTCGGCACCAGAGGAGGCCTAATGATGACTGCTCTCGAGGGAGCTTTGTCTCACTGCCCGGTGGTGGTGCGGGGTTGGGGTGGCTTCCATAGTCATTTGAGTAAACAGGCAAGAGGAGGGACTCCCCCTGCACTCAGGGATATAGGACCCCTTGGCTCCTCCTATCTGTCTCCCTCCCCCCCACTCCAGCCCTCAGAGCCTAGGAAGGGCTACCCTGGCTGAGGCCAAGTTCACATTTCTGTGTGGAGCCTGGGGCTGTGTGCAAAGTCCAGGGTCTACAGCGCCAAGAATAGTGGTTATGGGTGGGCCTGACTGAGCCAGTCCTCCGTGCAGTCCTGAGGAATGGGGGCCCAGTAGGGCCTGGACCCCACATGGGCAGACTCTGTTTTTAGGAGAGCCCTACAGGGGGTTGGCCGGCTGCCCTGCCTGCCTCCTCAGGGTCCTCTTTGGTCCCTATCCTAGACCCAGGGGCCTTTTCAGTCTCCTTGGAGTGACTGTCAAGGGACTGTTCTCTGGCCACAACTACCTGCCCAGAGGACCTCTGAAAACCCCAGGAGCAGGTACTATTGCCAGAGGTAAGAAGAGAACCAGGTCGGAAGGGCAGGATGGGCCGGCAGAATTATTCCAAAGCCTTAGAGATTCATAGGTTCTTCCTCCTCCACCAGCTGCTCTGAGGGCCTGGGGGAGGATAAGCATGGGGTTGCTGGGGGGCCAGGGGCTGCAGAGAGGGCCTCAGCCCACCTTCCCAAGAAGGCTGGGCTGGAATCTGGGATCCTTAGGTTGGAAGGGCTCAAGAGGTGGCGAGGCTGCCGGCCGGGGGTCGGTATTACCTCTCTTCAGCCAGGATGCCAACGGAGAGGGATGCCAGTGCAGTCACTGCCTCCACTTCTTCTGCGTCAGCTCCTGGCACCCTGGGCACCCAGGATTCTGGACAGGAGGCCAGGCGCTGCATGCAGCCCCAGTATTTACCTGGGACAAGAAGCCTAGTCAGAGAGGGTTGGGGAAAGCAAGTCCTCCCGCCTGCCTCCCCACACATCCTAGACCGGTACGGAGACCGAACATCTCAGGCCAGGGTCCAAGAGTAGCGGCCGTATCCTCAATCTGCGGTCAGTTCTCTCACCTGCCTCTACCTCAAGACACAACCTTCCTCGACTTGGCCCCCACAGCCCTGACAAAGTGAGCAGAGCATTCAGCATGGCTGTGAGGTGGCCTCATAGGTGCCCAAGCCATTCTCCCCCGCCTTTGGCTGAAAGGTCGCCTCTAGCCTATTCCCACAGGTGCATGGTTCCTAAGGGCATCAGCCCCAAGCAATGGTCAGCCCAGAACACAGGACAGGAGCAGATGGTCAGTCCAGCAATGGTCAGCCCAGGACCCAGCACGGGGAGAGCTGACTGTCATCACGGGGTGGCCACCTAGCTACTCACCCGCCCCGGGCTCCCACATGGACGTGCCCACCCTGCCTACTCTTGTGAGAAGTCAGGTCCAGGGAACACGCCCAGAGCGAGGGCTCTGTACAAAGTTCCCGCAACACCTTTATGTTCCCTGCGTGCCCTTACTGAGCCCAGATGCAAGGAAACCTAATTTGTTCCTTTTTTGTATCCCTAGCCTAGATCATGGGTATTTACACAAAATGCTCCATAGATACTGAGTTGAAATGGAAATTTTAAAGTGCTTTCCAAATGTGGGATTATCTTAAGACCCAGCCCCCCAAACAGGCAGAGCGTCCGAGGCCCTTGTGGCCAGGACTGAGGGTTGAGGTGGGAACCAGCACTGTTAACAAACGAGCCTGAGTGTAGCTGTTCACTGGCCCTGGCCTGGGGCTGTGGTGGAGATCGGAGCTCAGCCCTGCCTTGAGGAGGCAGGCCACTGTCTGGTGGTCCCTGCGGGGCCCGTGTGGAGGCTCTGAGGGTATCCGCTCTTGGGGTGGCTGCCCCACCATCCGGCTGAGGTAACTGATAGGAAGCCCATTCCTGACCAGCCCCAAGGTCCCTAGCCTGGCTGGCAGTGGAAGCTCTGGTGACTGGGAACAGCACCCCTGAGGTTCTCCCAAGTCTAGGGTCAGTGGGTGTCCTCTCTCTACACTCACTGTGCACCCGGATCACAGCTTCCAGAGAACGGATGGCGTTGAGGTTGGGTTTCTGTTTCCAGCCTTTTTCTGCGAGGGGATCCACCTACGGAAGAAAATAGTACATCAACCACCAGTCTTGGGGACCCATAGCCCAGGTCTCCCCCACACCAAGGGCCCTGGCTTTCTGGTTTCTGGGCACAGATAGGCATGTGCCTCTGGCTCCGCCTAGGGCAGGAGGTTCTGGCTCCAGACCTTACCTGGGGAAGAGGCATCCGCTCTGTCCCTCTTATTCCAGGCCTGGCCATCCCCGCCCTATCTGTGGGCCCTCAGGGATGCACCCCATTTGTCTGCTCTTTGGGGGCAGTCCTGCGCGAATGCTGGGCTCCTGTTCCCACAGAGGCATGGATGAGGGGAGCAGCTCACCTTGTTGCCCAGAAGAGCAGCCACACAGGCCTCGGAGGCGTCACAGATGGCTGTGAGGTCATGGCCGCCCTCCAAGGCCAGCACCACTGCACCTCCAGCCAAGCTCATCAGCTGCTGCGTCATGTACCCAAAACCTAGATATTTGAGGAAAGGGGAGGGAAGGGAGGGAGAGGGGTGGAGGAGAGGTGGACCCTCTCCACGTATTATATCCCTGCTTGCTTCTTCCCTTATACATAACTAGAGGCCCCGTGAACATTTGTGCACTAGGGGGGCCGAAGGGGGTCCCTCAGCCTAGACTGCGCAAGCGGACATCCCCTGAGGGGGTCCTTAGTGCTGCCTCGGAGGCTAGAGAGGCTCCCACCACCGCCTCTGCGCTCGCCAGCTGTGAGCCCAGCTTCTGGCTGAGCAGCACTCCCCCTGTGGAAGCACACTGACCACCAGGGGGCAGCTCCTGCATTGAGCATCTGCCCCCTGGTGGTTAGTGTGCACCATAGCGACTGGTCGATCCACAGTTTGGTCGATTTGTATATTAGGGTTTTATTATATAGGACTAGAGCCCCCGTGCACGGATTCGTGCACTGGTGGGGTCCCTTGGCCTGGCCTGCGCCCTCTTGCAATCTGGGACCCCTCGGGGGATGTTGGACTACCAGCTTCGGCCCAATCCCCACAGGCCAGGCTGAGGGACCCCACTGGTACACAAATCCATGCACCAGGCCTCTAGTATGCATATAAGATCTTTGGTTAATCTCTTCCTGCCCTCCCCCCTTCCCTCTTCCCTCTGAGATTCATCAGTCTGTTCCATGTCTCCATGCCTGTGCATTGAGCATCTGCCCCCTGGTGGTCAGTGCACATCATAGCTACAGGTCGAATAGTCATTTAGGCTTTTATATATATAGATGATGCAGATGCAAAACTCTACCATCCCAAGCGCTTTCACATGGAGTCCCATGTGAAACCTATTAGTATGCCTCACTCAGGGCTCAGAGAAGTTAAGGTCCTTGCACAAGGGTTCACAGCTAGTAAACGGCAGGGTTAGGACTTGAACCGGAGGCATCGACTCCAGCGACATCTTTTTCACCGAGTCTCACCATCTTTTCTTTCTGTCCTGCAGGCCCCGTGGCCCAGCAGGTGAGCGGGCTCCCTCGATTCTGAGAACACTGCTCCTCCTATCCTCCCTCCAAAGAAGCTGCAAGCCCATCCTGGGAATGACACACTTAGGGCGGGGGAGTCCTATGGCTGAGCTTCCTGTGTCCCCAGGGTGTGACTTAGCCAAGCTTTCCATGGTGAATGGAGCTGGTCGTGAGAAAGGGCCCTGGGCTATGCTAGGCTAGGAGAACCCAGGGAATCCCAGGGCCAGCTGTCATACCTCAGTCCTCACACTCACAGTCCTGGCCCGACACAGCCGCCTTCCCCTCCCAGTCTAGCCCTCATTCCCCTAGGTTGGGCCCTCCTTACATTTTGCGGAAACATGGTAGCCACCCAGTGGGGCTGGGTGACCCTCGGCAGCATCAAACCCAGCCGACACCAAGACCAGGTCCGGAGAGAACTCTCTGGCAATGGGCATCACGACTATCCTGTGAGGGTGCAAGAAGGAGGGCTCACCACACTGTAGCCTTGCTGGGCAGAGGCCAAGGGCCCCCACTGGTGCCAGCCCTCTCTACCACCTTTACTGTGGGGCACCCTGCTGTTAGGACTCCAAGATACTCAGTCTCCCAGAAGGATTAATGGATCCCTCTGACTTCCTTCTTTTTTTTTAAATCCTCACCTGAGGATATTTTTCCCATTGATTCTTAAGAGAGTGGGAGGGGGAGAGAGGGAGAAAGAAACATCAACATGAGAGACACATCAATTGGTTGCCTCCCGCCCACTTGAGCCCCAACAGGGGGCGAGGTCAAACCTGCAACTGAGTTATGTGCCGTTGACCAAGAATCAAACCTGCAACCCTTTGGTCAATGGGCCAACACTCTAACCACTGAGAAAAACCGGCCAGGGCCCCTCTCACTTCTTTGACCTTAGCTTCTGCACAGGGATGTGCCATTACCCTGACAGAGCCTAAGGGCTCAGCCACCAAGTGTGCTCAACTGGAACAAGGCAGGAAGGAGCCAAGAAGGGGGTACCAGAGGGGATGAAAGAAGAGTATGTGTGTGTGTCTATGGAGTGCAGTGGTCAGAGCCACAAAAAAGGTACAGGTCACTTAAGCCTCAGGGACTAGAAATACTCGGTACTTAGTTGCCACCACACCTCGCCACTCACCACCTAAGGGCTGACTAGGGTGACTAGACTCTGAGATCCTGGGCTACCCAGATGTACTCTCTCCTCCTCAGCCCCTGCCAACCCCCACAGCTGCCTCCCTCCATCCCTGTCCCACCTCTAGGGTCCATTTTGGTGTCTTTCAAAGCCCTGGGCTATGGGCAGGGCTTTTACAGAATTAGCTCCCATGGAAAATATCTCCAGGAAAGTATTTGGAGACCTACTTCCAGATTTCCTTTTCCCAAATGGCGTGGTGGAGCCCCAGAAAGAAATATATAAAGGCTCTTGAACAGAACCCAAAGCTGCTCTTCTAGAATGGCTTTTCCTAAGCAACTCCCCCAATATGGACATCATCTTTCTCTGCAATTTAAGTTTCTCACCTTCTGCACAAAGCCCACCTCCTCCAGGCAGCTTTCTTGGACTGAATGTCTGCTCTGCTCACTCCACCTGCCTGTCTCCCAGCACTCAGTTCAACATTGGCTCTTGGTAACAAGTGCCTTTACAAAGTACCCTTTGACTATTTCATTCTATTTCCTGTCTTCACATTGGAACTGGAGGCTACGAGAGGCCAGTATAACAGTGCCCTTGCTTTTGTTTGCCTTGGGCTGGCTTATAATGTCTGGTGATTGAATGAGGATAGGCTGACAAACCAACTGATTGCCTCCAACCTGGTGCTGCTGGGAAAAAGGGCAGGAAAGGGTGGCCTGGATGGGCTAGGCCTCAGAGCACTTACCTGAAAGCAGCCAGGTACTCAGGATCCCCCATTGGGGGATCCAGACCTCCGGCCCAGGCCACGTTAACGTTGAAGCCCTCACCGCTGCCAGCTCCCACCTGGAAAACAGGACGCAAGAGAGACATGAGGAGAGCAGAGTCCCAGGAGAGCAATGCCAGACCAGCTCATATACCCTCTTCACTTTCAGACGGAGAAACAGGATCAGAGAGGCTAAACAATCTATTCAGGATCACACAGCTACTTGTAACAGAGGCAGAGTAAGGGTCACGGGGGGAGAGTCAATGGGGCCGGAAGAGGTAGACCCGACACGTGGTTACCTCCTCCACGGCCCCACTGCCCGGGAAGAAGTTGCCATCGTCATGGCGATGCAGGGAGATGTAGAGCACACTGGGGTCCTCGTAGAAGGTGTGCTGGGTGCCATTGCCATGATGAACATCCTGTGGGAGATGGGCAGTGGATTAGAGAGATGGAGACCGGAGCAGGTTGGAAGGGTTTTGAGGTTAGTGACCAGTTTGAGGGTCAGGACCCTAGACGGGGTGAGGAAACTGGAGTTCCTAGAGCCAAACTGATGAGTGGCCCCAAGTAATCCATGGGCCCTCTCTGAGCCTCAGTCTCTGCATGTATGCAGAGATGTGTATATAACATGCTGAATGGGGGTGCCTACAAGACCCTGAAGGGGAGGAAGCATGCCAAGGGCAGACCTGACCGTGAGAGAGTGTGTGGGAGTGGATTAGTGGAGGAGAGGGAAGAGTCCAGGATGATACATCAGAAAATCTCACTACTGTGTCTTGTCCAAGGTCATGGAATGATGCAGGTGATGAGAAGCAAGCTCAAGTACAGAGGGGCAGGTACGTGAGGCCCACGGCCATCCATCCTAGGGAAAGCTGTGGCTCTGCAGTCGGTAGCTCACAGGACCATGCATGGGTGCACGTGTGGAAAGCTCCTCTACTGTCCTCAGCTTCTGTACAGGCATGTCCCAATCACAGGTGTCAGCGCAGAGTGGGGCAGCTTATACTCAGATGCACGTACGCTAGCACTAACCAACGGGTTTCAAATCCGGCTCAGGACAGACTAGGTGCGTGGCTGTGTGCAAGTTACTTAACCTCTCTGTGCCCACTTCCTTTGTCTGAAAACCAGGTTACAGTCAGGAATAAATATGTCACATGTAAAACCCATCCGTGTCTGGATGTGATTAGTGGAATGTTATCTGCTGTTACTATTATTGTCACTATCTATAGGGGAAATGCAGAAATTAAAGCCGCAGAAAGAAGCCAACAGAGGCCAAAAGACAGCACTCAAATGGTTCCTTCCTCCCATTGTGGGAGTCTGTTATGGCTGAAGGCCTTCTCCCACCTTTTATACAAGGGGGAAACGGAGGCTCGGGAGGCCAGTGTAGAACTAGGACATGAAGCCACATTTCCTGACGCCAGGCTCAGAACTCTTTCCACAGGGCTCTGGGCTGAAGGGGCTGGACATACCCAGTCCACAATGAGGATCCGGCCGGCCTTGCCCTGTTGCTGCAGCTGCCGGCAGGCGATGGCCACGGAGTTGAAGAAGCAGAAGCCCCTGGGAGGAGAAAAGAGAAGTCCTGACAGCCCATCCTTCCTGCGCCTCCACCTGTCCGGCCTCCCGTCTCTACCCTCCTGGCCTGGTCCAGCCCCAAAAGGCTCATCCCACCTAGGCCTTCCCCAGACCTTACATGGCTGTGGAACGGTCCGCATGGTGTCCTGGGGGCCGAACCACAGCAAAACCGTTCTGGAAATGGAAAGAATGCTTATCAACCGAAGGGCCAGCCCTCTGACCCCATCTCCATAAACATGCCCACAGCCCCAGCTCCTCCCAGGACCAGGATGGGTCTGAAGTGCCCGGTACTCAGCCCCCAGGCTTGGCATCCTCTGCTTTCAGGCTGGATGCGAGCAGAGAAACCCCCGCCTGGTGTGGCCTGGCTGTTAGCACTTCGTAATAACAGCTGTTCGTTGGGCCAAAACTACGTGCCTGGCACTGTGCTAAGCTCTTTATAAACACTGGATCTCATCCTCATAACATCTCCATGAGATAAACATTATTATTAGCTCTAGTTTACAGACAGGAGAAATCTGAAGTTTAGGTGGGTTAAGCAATTTGTGCAAAGTTGCCTGGTTGTCAATGGTGGAGCCAGAATTCTAAACCCAGTTCTGTGCCCTTAACTGCAAAGGCCCACCAAAGGGCTTTGACACTGAGGACACCGTGACCACCTTGGGCTGAGCTCCTAAACAACGGGGTGGGGGGACCTCAGGACAAGCCCCTGTAAGGTGTCCAGCCCAGGTACCAACCCAGTCTATAAAACTTCAGCATTGCAGGGGGAGCCCGGCCGGTGTGGCTCAGTGGTTGAGCATCAACCTATAAATCAGGAGGTCTTGGTTCAATTCCCGGTTAGGGCACGTGCCTGGGTTGCAGGCTCGATCCCCAGTAGGGGGCATGCAGGAGCAGTCGATCAATGTTTCATTGATGTTTCTATATCTCTATCCCTCTCCCTTCCTCTCTCTAAAAATCAATTTTAAAAAAACCCCAAAAAACTTCAACACTGCAAAGAAACAATCTGCCAATGCACAGAGGTCCAGAGACTCCTGCAAATTGCCTACAGTCACACATTGGGTCTATGTTAAATGATCCTGGGTGATCATGACCTGTGTCTCTTAGAGACCAAAGGCCCAGGGTCACAGTGGTGGACTCCCCACCAAGTAACATGAACCTACGGTTCAAATCTCATTTTGGTCCCCAGAGCTCTTGATTCCCCTTCCAAAACCCTGTGGTGCTATCCAAGAGAAATGAGATGTTGGGGCCCTGGGTCTGGGCCCCTGGCTGCCTCATTCTGTTCCCTCCTTCCGTGGCTTGCCCACCTTCAACCCAGATGTCTTACCTTGAGCTCGCGGGAAGCCACTTTGAAGGCCAGATCGGTTACGCTGCCGGCGGCCCAGCGGGCTGCATTGGAGGAGTGCAGCTCGTTCCAGATGGTGTCAGTATCCACCTGTGGGGGCCAGAGTCAGGGCCCGCATCATCCAAGGCTTCCCACGGGAGCCAGGGCCCTTGGGTGGTGCCCACCCCATGGCCAGGACCCCAGGGGCAGGGAGCTGGGCAGACAGTGCTGCCTCCCCAGTGCCCCACCGCCCAAAGGCAAGGCCTCCTGTATCCCCCAGTCCCAGCATGACGTCTCCTTCCCAGCTTCAGTCACATCACCAGCCCGTATGTGGCCAGCACTGCGCTGGCGGCATGGCGCCTGCCTCCCCGGTCAGAGGAGGGGGCATGGCGTTACCTGGGCGGGACTTGGGGTTTGGGCCTGGAGGGGGTTTTAAGCCCCAGCTGGCTCTGCTCAGGCCCTGCGGGACGTCGGAGCTCGAGGGGCCGTCTGCACCACTGTCTTCCACTCAGGGCCCCTAGCCCAGGCTGGGAGGCCCCCCAAACCCAGTCCCTGGGCCTCAAGGCTAGGGAGGGGCCGGGGGGCATGATGGGGAGATGGGAAGGGCGAGGCGAACCAAGAGAGGCGAGGAAGGCAGAGAGAGTCTCAAGAGGCTGGAGAAAGAGAGAGAGACAGAGAGAGAGGGAGAGGAGGGAGGAGAAAACAGAAGCAAAAACAGTTGGAAAAATCAGAAAGTGGTAAGAAATGGGAAGTTGTGAATAGGGCGCTGACTGGCTCCCAACAGTCCCCCCAGCTAAGCTCCCATTTCCCTCCAAACCAGGCCTCCATCCCCTGCCTCCACACACCGGCGGGCAACCACTGTGGGGACCTTTCAGGCAAGGCGGGCACTGCTAGGGAGGCCGGAAGCCCCCCAAGCAGTGTGAGGAGGGAGGGAGGAAAGTGGGGAGTGGGAGGGAAGTGCCTGAGTCCCCAAGGACACTGGAGGCACCCACAGTCCCAGCCCAGGCAGCCCCGACTCTGCCTGGGGGCTCACTCCGGTGAGTGGCCAGGCCCGACCCCTGGGGTCTTATGAAGGGATGACCTTGGCCCTGCTCTCATAGCCTCACTCGGCATTTACCAAGCACCTTCTAAGTGTGAGGCACAGGCTCCACACTTAGGAGATACTGGTGGGCTGAGGACACACCTATCCAGAAGGCGCTTCTAGGCAGCAGAGGGGCATTATGGGAAAGTCTCTGGCCCGCCGGGTCTGGCAGAACCACAAGAACAAGCAGGCAGGGTGGGGCCTGGGGGCATGGAAAGGAGACCTGAGAGCCCGCGGCAATGCCTGCTCGAGAACCCCGGGCACACTTACCCCAACTCCACCACAGGGCAGCATCACAAAGATCCGCTGTGCCAGGAGCCCTGTGGAGAGAGGCCCGGTGTGTGTGAGCTGAACCCTCGCAGCTTCTGGCCTGGCCAGGACACAGGGAGGCCCTGGAAAGAGGGCCAGGGTGGGTGCACAGGCGAGGGGATGGGCAGCAGAGGGGCCAGGGGAGGCGTGGGGATGTCAAGGATGCTGGGGGGACAGGCTGGCAGAGCTGGGACAGGAGAGATTTGGGACGGGTAGGCAAGGTGAGCCAGCGGAGGTACGAGGGTCCCAGACCCCACTGGCCCCTACCTGCCAGCTTCCCGTTGTCCAGTTTGAGGCGGCTGAGCGGGTTGGTGCCGTAGAGGTGCACGTGCCGCTCGGAGTGCACCGACTGTAGCTCCTCCAGGGAGGCCTTCCGGCCTCGGAGACACTGAGGAAGGGCCCACGGAGCTCCTGAGGCCCTGCTTGCCCCCTTCCCTGCCATACCACCACCCGCCTCCTCCTTCATCTCATGCTGGCTCTAGGCCCTCGGCCCCTTCCCTTCCATTACTCTTACCTCCCCGATTCCACAGCGCCCACCCACCTCCTCACCTCACACTGGCCTCGGAGCCCCCGCTCCTGCAGCCGGGACCAGATGCTCTGGATGCGGCCCGCGTGCTCCGGGTGCCTGCTGTTGTCTCCACAGGAGCACTGGTGCTTCAGCATGACCGAGTCATACACCAGCCCTGGGGGGCGCAGGGGTCAGAGCCAGGACCGCAGGGAGTCCCCAGTGCGCCCCCCCACACACACACATGGAACCAGGCTTGGCACACACACCCCACACCCCATCCTACACCTTGGCCCTTCCCACGAATTCACACTCCCGGCTGCTTACCCAGGCAGCCTCACCACCTCACATGCACACCAACGCAGCCCCACCTTCCTTCCTGACACACCGATCCTCCTCACATGGCCACTACCTTTCCACGACATCAAGAACTCAGAGCCTAACAAAGGGAGGCCCGATGTTGGGGTCTCACACTGGATGTCTTGACTCGAATAGGAGCCAGAGGAGAAAGAATTCCACAGAAACTCCAAAACTGGGAGCTGGGAAGCCCAGAGCAACACGGGGCCATGTGACAAGACAGATGCGGTTTTGGGGGGTGTCTGTTTCAGCTTGATCAGCGAACACCTAGGAAGGCCCTGTGCACTGCCAGTGGGACCGTCCCTTTCAGCAAGTCTAGGATGTCAGGGTCTTCAGAATTCTCACACCACTGGACCCAGGGATGCCACTCCCTGAGACTGACCCAGGGATGAATGAAGGTTTAGGTACGAGGAAATTCAAATGAGGAAAAACAAGTAACCGTCTAACTGCCCAACCAGTAAGAAATCTATATAATAAAAGCCTAAGCGACCATATGGCGGAACGACCAGGACGACTGGTTACTATGATGCCCACTGACCACTAGGAGGCAGATGCTCAATGCAGGAGCTGCCCTCTGGTGGTCAGTGCGCTCCCACAGGGGGGAGTGCCGCTCAGCCAGAAGCTGGGCTCACAGCTGGCGAGGACAGCGGCAGTGGTGGGAGCCTCTCCCACCTCCACGGCAGCACTAAGGAGCAGCGAGCCCAGCGGTAAGGAGCAGCGAGCAGGCTGGAGGTAAGGAGCGAGGGGGGTCCTGGACTGAAAGAGGGTGCAGGCCAAGCTGAGGGACACCCCCCACCCCGTGCACTAAATAAAAATAAAGTACTATGATGGAACACTATAAAAACCTCATTTCTGAAGATTGATTATATCACAAAGTGTTTGTAATATGTTAACTGAATAAAGCGGGGTACTGTGTCTGTGGTACATGTGGTGTTGTGTGTGGTGTGTGTACAGACGACCAGGACAAGGACAGAATCGAGCAGTGTTTAAGAGTGGCCACCTCTGGGTGGGGGGATACTGAATGCTGATTTTTATGCTTTTTCTGCATTTTTCAAAACTTCTAAAATGCCTTTTTAAAAAATAAAGTATTTTTTATTGATTTCAGAGAGGAAGGGAAAGGGACAGATAGAAACATCAATGATGAGAGAGAACCATTGATTGGCTGCCTCCTGCATGCCCCCCACTGGGGACCGAGCCTGCAACCCAGGCATGTGCCCTGACCGGGAATCAAAGTGTGACCTCCTGGTTCATAGGTCGATGCTCAACCACTGAGCCATGCCGGCCGGGCAAAACTTCTAAAATGCTTTTGAGCTCTTTCTCCAAGCAGAGCAAAAACAATAGATGTCATTTTTGAAAGGCCTGAACTAGCTGTCAGGAGCTCCTGACAATTCTTAGCCCGTTCTGACTGCCAGCTTGCTATTTGGCCACAAGCTTGTCACCTTAGATTTCCTGAGCCTGGTCTTCTCGTGTGTAAAACGAGAACCACCACCTATCCCCCTGCTTCACAGACGCTGTGTGGGTCTCACGAGACCAAGAAAGTGTGCTGTGGCCTCGTCCTGAGTGGTACTGTGACGCAGACATGGACCCGTGCCCCAGCCTCTGTGTGTCCCAAGCCCTTCCTTCTGCCCCACTCTCATCCAGGGCTTACCTGTGGTGAAGGGCAGGGTCCTGGCGGGGGCCTCTGAGCTGGGCAGGACACGGGCCTGGTTGGGGGGCTCTGGCGTTGGCAGCGAGGCAGGTGCAGCTGGGGATGACTGAGTCCTAGACAGCAGCCGGTGACCGCCCTGGGCCGGGGAGAGCAGCACAGGGTCCCCAGTGCCTACCCGCGGCAGCCGTCCGGCCAGTCGCTGCTGCTCCCAGAGGAACACCTGCGGGACACAGCGGCCTCAGTCTCCAGGTTCTCAGGATCCTGCTCCCTGTGCTTCTGCCCAACGTCTCGGAAACCTCCAAACAGGCCCCTTTCCTGGTGTGATTCCAGGGGTGAGGCCTCTAGTCTTGCCTCCCAGCCAAGCTCCAGCCTTTGACTCTAAGCTCCCTACTCCCACTAGCCCCCAGAGGTCTGCACCTCAGACTGACCGGCCCATCCCCCGAGCTCCCTGGGCCCTCGGGACTCCAAAGCCAGAACCCAGGTGAGGGATCTCAGGGACATGGACCGTGCACCTGCCCGAGGACATGGGGACCTGCGTGAGCCACTGCTACCACATCTGATGGGCCCACTCTTATAGATGAAGGAAATCCTAACCCCTGGTACTTTGGAATGTGGCCTTCACTGGAGACAGGGTCTTTACAGAGGTAACCAAGGTAACGTGAGGCCATTAGAGCGAGCCTTAAACCACGACTCCTGTCCGTATAAAGAGGAGGAATGGGGATACAGACATGGACGGAAGGAACACAATGTGAAGACACAGGAAGAAGACAGTCGCCTACGAGCCGAGGAGAGAACTGGAGCAGCTCCTTCCCTCACATCTCTCAGAAGGACCCAATCCTGCCAACCTGGATTTCAGACTTTTAGCCTTCAGAACAGAGGCAATGCACTGCTGCTGCTTCAGCTGCCCAGTGTGTAGTACTTGCGACAGCAGCTCTAGCAAATGCTTACCCCGTGGCTTGATCACACGGTGGGAGTGCTGGTTAGCGCGCTTGAGCCTGGCTCTGCCCCACTTCCTGCCCTAGCCACCTTCCTGGAAACGGTACAACTGGTCCCGGGGAGAAGTACTAGGGGAGGCATGTGTATGGCTCCATCAAAGGCTGGTCCCACTGCTGGACAAGGGACATGCTTCACCCGGAGCCTGGCAGGCTGCTGGAGTGCACGTGTAAGTGAAAGTGTGCCTGCGTGCATATATGCACCGCGTGCGCATGTGTGTGTGTGGATCTGGCAGACATCGTGGGTCTCAGGGCTGTTCCCTGCACTGATATCCTATCTCCCTCCCTTCCGTCTATGCCAGGCCCCCGCGTTAACTGACTACACCTCTGAGGGGCACTCGGGCACTGCCATACCTGCTGGTGCTGCTGGAGAACAGGGCCTCTGGCTTCATGCTGCCCCGAGCTCGACCCCCTGCATGCCAGGCTGTCATCCCCCGGGGGCCCCACTCCCCCACCATCCGTCTCCAGGTCCTCAGCCGAGGGTATCTGCCGTAGTCGGGGCTTCTCACTCGGCTTGGCTGACCTCTGAGGAGGGAAGATGCCCGCTGAGAAGCCATGCTGGAGTGTGGAGTGGGGGGTGGGACATGGTGGGCTGGGTGGCCATTGATTTGGCTGGGCTGCCATTGGCCAAGTAGCTCTCGGCCCTCCAGATCCCTGCCCTTCCAAATCCTCCCTTCTTCTTTCAGCCCCCGTGGGCCCAGTGAAGCAACCCCTACCACCTCCCCTACCCAGTTCCCCTCACCTTGATCAGCTGGACGTGAGGGTTGAGCCGCTCCAGGCGGGGCTGCAGGGGGCCCAGTGATGGGGGGGCGGTGGCGCTTGGGGGCAAAGGCTCTGAGCGGGTCCGGCTCAGCGGCCAATGGAGGCCTGACCCAGAGAGCCGCTCGGTGGTCAGTAAGGACTGGGCAAAGTGGAAGGGCAGGGGCCCAAACCCGGGCACTGGAAAGAACGTGGGGGGTGGCATCAGGGGGGAACCATGGAGAAGAATGGAAAGAAGCAGGGCATGGGTGGGGGGCAGAGACTCAGCAGGGAGATGCACAGAAAGATGGGGCAGCGGAGGGGGTCAGCCCTTACCAGGGTGCAGGGATCCAGCCCCTCCCCTGGGGAAGCAGCAGGACTCACCAGTCAGCAGGGGGGTGTGAGAGACTGAGGGATCCAGGAGGAGAATGGGCTGCAGACGAGAGGGCATGGTGCCCCCAGCCTCAGACTCCAGGCCATGGGGCAGGAAGAGGGGAGCATGGGGGCTCCCTAGGACTGGCCCCCGAGGGCCCAGAGTTGGATGGATCCTGCGGTCACCATCAGCCTGGGGGAGAGGCGGGAGGAGTCACAGGGGAGCAGGCTCCAGCAGAGAGAACAGTGAAGGCGATGGGTGAGGCAGCAGGAGAAGGGATAAAGGAAGCTGGGGAGCTTGGCATGGGGGAGGGCGCCTCAGCCACTCACCCTGGCAGGGGCGGGTAGCCCCAGTGTGATTGCGGGCAGCAAGGACACTGTCGGCAAGGCGAACGGGGCCAGAGAGGTCTCCTGCCTCCGCAGCCGCTGGCCCAAGAGCGCCTGCCATGGGGAGCAGGGCAGGGGTCACTGGTCCCAGACCTCCACCCCTGGGCACGCCTTCCCCAGAACACCCAGCCCCAGCAGCCCAGCAGCCCCAGGGCCCCTGCTGAGAGGAAGACAGAGCCTCAGAACTGCCCCGAGAGTCCACCCAGCAGGGCCTTACCTCCGAGCCCAGGATGGGGTTGGGGCCGTGCTCGCTGTCATTGGGAGAGCTGCACCCTGACGCGGGTGTGCTGCTACT